GGAAAGACGTTCTGTAGCCGGTGTAGTTTGAGAACCTTTCAGGCCCGACAATCTCGATGGCCTCGTTATCTGCCATCACAGGCAAGAAAAGGATGCTGGCAATGAGTTCCGGGTTGATGGCGAACCGGATCTCTTCCTGGACACAGCCTTGTTTGAGAATGAGACCCCCGATGTGTTTATCAGCAAAGTCTACCTCTAGGACTTCAGTTGATTGGTCCTCGATTTTACCATAAGTGTGAACCTACAATAGAGTTGTAGTAGGCCAAGACGTAAATCAGACTGACAGAGGACTTGCTAATCAGTAGTTTCACGAACAGATTAATTTGAGCATTCAGTACCTCAAACTTACAGAGTGGCATGGCAGACTTGCTCCAGTAATCGGCTGTACTGTTCCTCAAGGGAAGAACTTTCCGTTCAAAAGAGACGTTACCTCTAGGCATATTCTTGCAGACCCTCTCAAAGTAGTGAACCAAGCACTTTATTTTATTTTCCTGATTTTCCTTCTTACGCTGGTACAGAATTCTGAAAACAGAGAAAGTGACCATGAACACAGTCCCTAGCTTAAGAAAAGAAAAAGAAACACAAACAGAATTATGTGAAGAAGACCATAGAAAACATTTATGATGAAGTATGTTAAATACTGTCTGTTCTTTAAGAGTAGGTGCCCAAACCAAGCAAAATTGAATTGCACAATTTTTATGCAACAAATTTTCAACAGAGATCAAACTCTATCACTCTTATGTTCTTCCGAGGAAAAATCATAAGAGGAGCAATGCTCTTTACTTTAATTGCACATTCTTCGTGGTTTTCCAGTATTTGCCAGTTCAATACTACAATGCATGATTTGCATCCTGATATTGATCTACTTATACTGCAGTTTACCAGTAAAAGGTACATAATAATGAAAGTGGTTATCTAAAAACTAAGACTTAATAGACAACCACCCTTGCTTCAAAATGCTACACAATTATGTATTTACTTTTTTGAAAAATGTCAAAGGCCATAAGCCCAAGAAGGTACACGAAGTTAAATTTAAGTTCCCTAATCATGTAAAATGAAAATATGGAAATCATGAACAGCATAAACCCGTCTATAGGCATCTTTCCAATTTAACTTCAGGCCTTAGTAGTAACTCGATTTCTTTTATAGTGTTACTTTCTTTAAGAAAAAGAAGGCGCTAGATACTTCTGGCCAAACTCTAAATGAAGAAAAACAACCAATATGCATAATGAACTTTCAGCTAACAAGTGATGCCCGAGCTGTCAGAATTTATTGAAGCATGAACAATAATTTAGAATCCATAACACTGTTAACTGCTCAAACACAGGTATCGCAATATGCAACCACCGGCCAAACTGGAATCCATCGAGAGGTGTTGAACTAGGAGGAGCTATATGGTTAGGAAAGCAGTAGGTATTTTCTACCAAAACTACAGTACTGACAACTATGTAACTGGCAATCATTTTAAGATGGCAAAAAGTCAGGAACCAGAGAGAATCAGAAGTATGAATAATGGAGGAAAGCATACACAAATAACTTGTCAAAGTTGATGGGTTGAGGTTTTTTTCCGCCTCTCTTAGCTGCTGGAAACAAACAAAAAAGACCACAAGCCAGAAGAGCTGCAATCAATTCCTGAAATAAACAAAAAAAAAATCTCATAGTCAGAGATTGTAGCTTAACGGCCAATTTGCATCAGTAAAAGAAATTTAGCTCTTATAGCCGACAGAGCATTATAGGAATAGCTTATATAACATTTGAAACTACACACACAAAAGAAAAAAAAAANNAAAAAAAAAGAAAAAAAAAAAAGAAAAACACTGGTGAGGAATCTCAAATTATATTTTATAAGCTACTATATCTTCTTAAGAATAATCTAATCTATTCCTAAAAAATAGAAAACATGTGAAAAGCTCGTGAAGTAAGATGCAAAAACGAGGAGGCCAGATAATTGGAAATGTTGGATTAAGGATTTTTATCCTCTTAATGACGACATTGTTACAAAACGATTGGATCTTTATCAATATTCATGTTTCCCTACAAATTCCCGTCATTTAATAGAAACAAGCCAAATATGATTTTATATCCTTTTTTGCAAACATGATAAGAACATACATTCACTGCTCAAACTTCATCAGTATCAATTCAACAGAACTTAAGATTTCTAAAGTTGTTAAAACATTTTTTTTTTTCCCAAAATGAGCCACGTATAAATCAATATCGAGGCGTTTGACACGAGTTCATGAAACTTACGAAACAAGCAATAAAAGTTCACTAGCAGTTATATCCCAGTATTTGGTTATAGAATTTTAAAACTAACATGGCAACATAAAAGTAATCACGTGCCCTGTCAATCCTCGAAAGGGAGAAAAAAAGAACAAAATAGTAATCTATAATAATTCACAAACTTCACTCACACACACACACACACATACACACACACAACCTGACTAAGAATCACGATGCCCGGATTCTGAACTTCCAATACTCTGAGACCAGTTTCCGTCCCACTGAGGGCATCTGCATTCTTATATTGGGCTTCCAATAGTGCTGGCAACCTTAACAGCAAATTAGCAAGTTGTGGTACCACCTCTCCAAACCACTTCAAAGCATCATCCTTATTCATCAACTAAAACAAAAAGGTCATCTAAAGCAGTTCTAAATATTTCTCCAGTCGAAACGCAGTAAGAGAACACATTACTGGGCAAATGCACCTCGTCAATAGTGTCAGTGTCAAGGAATTTGGTAAGAGATAAGGCAGTCAATAGTTATTATTACACAATACCACATTATCAGAGGTAGATTTGCTGGGTGAATTTCCCGTTACATGGTAAATAGGACTATAAATCCAACCAACAGGAAAAAGGAATTACGTTGTTCAGGACCTACTCATAGGATTCTAAGCAAAATCGATAATTTAAAAGCTGAATAAACTGAAAGGAGGCGCCGGAAAAATTGAATTTCATTAGCTTCAAACGGAGATAAAGGAGGCTCTCAACTTACATCGTTGAAGAACAGGGAGAAACCGAGAGGCGCAGCGGGATGGAGAGGGTCAAGTCCGAGAAGCTTGCGGAGATCTACAATGGCAGCGGCGAAGAGTTCACCGGAACTGACATTGCTGTGACTCGGGCCCTTGGAGAGGGACTTGAGGGACTCAACCACTGTTGGAGGCCAAATGACGTCGGAGGCATGGAGAGTGACCGGTAAATACTGCTGAATAGACCGGAAATCAGCCCTACTGTCCATCGTGCGGCAGCAGTTTCCGAGATTTACTGTAAATTCGCGTCTGAAGAAATTAGGTGGTAGCTACGACCAGTAAATAGTGATTGAGAAAGGCATATTCGACCTAGTAGCTAGGTCTCTCTATTTGTGAAATTACGCAGTCACTCCCATCCATTCTCTATCGCCCTAGTTTCACTCAGCCCGCCGGCCGCCGCGTCACTCTCTCTTAGCCCGCCACCGCCGCTCAACCTCTCTCTCTCTCTCTCTCTCTCCGTGTGTCGCTCTCTCTCTCGCTCTCCAATCACTGGCCTCCGCTGCCCTTAAGTCAGGTAAGCTCTCGCCTCTCTGACTGTATCACTCTCTCTCAGTCTATCTCCCCCTCCAGCTTAACGGTTTCAAATTATGTGATTTTCCGGCGGCTAAGCCCCAATTTCGGTCAGAGTTGTAATGATTTTATCTCATCTCTGTACCTTACTGTTACATTTTCTTTTTCCGGGTTATCTGACCGAACTAGGGCTGCAAAAGGATCACGAACTCGAGTCGAGCTCGAGTCCATAGTTTGCATTATTGAACGGCTAGAGATACATATTAAATTACTAAAATACTCCTTATATAAATTAACATAAATGTTTAGTGGTAATTTTATTTTTTCACTTAAAAATTTTCGAGTTAAACTCGAACCGAGCTCGTCATTTTGATTTCAAGTCAAACTCGAGTTATTATAATTTTTTTATCTAGTTGAGCTCGAGCCTCATAAATCGAGCTCGAGCAGCTAAAAAAATGTCAATCCTTTTCAATAAGGCCAATGTCCGACTCGACTCGACTCGTTTGCAGCCCTAGACCGAACTAAGTGAAATAAAAAATTTCGATCTGATATCGGTTCGATTTTTTCTTTACAACAGTGCGATTCAGTTTGAACTTTTGATGATTTTTAGATTTCGATTTTTTTATGTTCGGTTTGATTTTGCACCCAACCTCACCCTTAATTGGTATTCTTCACTAGAATTAGGATAAAGTTATTTTATGTATGTGTAAATCACACCTGAACTATATAAGCAACTCCAGGTATAAGAGTCATTTTAAGTTCAAGTTTTCTCATTCATTAGCATTAAAGTTTCAGAAATTTTATGGTGCCACATGTGACATCATATTATGGTGCCACATGTGACATCATATTATGGTGCCACAACATGATGTGACACATTATAATTGGTGCCACAACATAATGCGTGATAGTGTGTCACCAATCATAATGTGTCACATCATGTTGTGGCACACCATGTTTTGACAACAGAAATGGGTTTTGAAACATTAGAAAATGTTGGGGTCAAGTTGCAAAAAAAAAAAGTGTTGGGGTCAAATTGACAACCACACATTATTGTACAAAGTAATGCTGAATACTTGGAAGAAAAGTTAGGAGGAGCATATATTTTCCCCAAACCCTTCGTTCTTACTACTTAACGAAATCCATTTTCATCCACATTCAGATCTTTCTCCAGGTATGTTCTTGCTTTTCAATTTCTACTCCATACTTAAATTTTCCTTCTCTGCGTTTTTGTTTTCTAGTATCGATCTTCTCTGGAAAGATCTTAATCTTATTTTTGGAGTAAATTTGTGCCCCTGCAATTTCCCAATTTGATAATTGATTTAAATTCTCACTTTAAGTTTTTACGCATTCTTGATAATTTTGGACTTGGGCCTCAACTCAGTAATCCAAGATTTTTTTTTTTTTTTTTTTTTGGTATGTAGAACCCGAGATGTCTCGAAGGTATGACAGCCGCACCACCATCTTCTCCCCGGAGGGCCGCCTGTACCAAGTGGAGTACGCAATGGAGGCTATTGGCAATGCAGGAAGTGCCATAGGCTTACTGTCCAAAGATGGGGTTGTGTTAGTCGGCGAGAAGAAAGTGACCTCCAAGCTCCTCCAAACCTCTGCATCCACCGAGAAAATGTACAAAATCGACGATCACGTGGCTTGTGCTGTGGCCGGGATCATGTCCGATGCAAACATACTCATCAACACTGCCCGGGTCCAGGCCCAGCGCTACACATTGGCCTACCAGGAGCCCATGCCGGTTGAGCAGCTCGTCCAATCCCTGTGCGACACCAAGCAAGGGTACACTCAGTTTGGTGGGCTTCGCCCATTTGGCGTCTCGTTTTTATTTGCAGGGTGGGACAAAAACTATGGGTTCCAGCTGTACATGAGTGACCCGAGTGGGAACTATAGCGGCTGGAAGGCTGCGGCCATCGGGGCGAATAATCAGGCGGCTCAGTCAATGCTGAAGCAGGACTATAAGGATGAGATCACAAGGGATGAGGCGGTTGAGCTTGCTCTAAAGGTGCTTAGCAAGACGATGGATAGCACAAGCCTCACATCCGAGAAGCTTGAGCTGGCTGAGGTGTTTGTGTGTAATGGGAAGGTGAAGTATCAGGTGTGCTCGCCCGAGGCGCTGAGTAAGCTGCTGCTCAAGTCTGGGGTTACACAGCCTGCTGCTGCAGCCGAGGGTTCATGAGACAAATAATCTGTTTGCTTGTTTGTTTTAAGTGACTGGATCTGATGTCCAATGCAAAATTCAACTTTTGACGAGTTTGCTGTTTCGTTGTTTTTCTATATTTGTATGCACTGGGTGTGTTTCATTGAGAGCTAGTGAGCTTTGCTCAAATCAAGTTGGCTTGCTTTTGTTTTTGACAAGTTTTGGGTTTGGTGTTGAGGGTGGTTGTGTATGTTGGACAAGAGTTTGCTTCAAGAGCATATGCACTAGTGATTTGGCTATATGCATTAGTTACATCCGAGAATGCCCACTCTGTTCTCTGTGAACAAAGTTGAAGATTTTTCGTATTATGGTGGAGGAAGCAAGTAGAAAATCTCATATGCTGTTGTAATAGTTTTGGCATCATAAATTCCATGCCCTATAGGCTTCATAGGGTGGGTTGGTGGAGTAGCTGTTTTCTAGGTACATTCACCAAATCTAGAGCTAGCATAAATTTTAGGCCATAATTTGCAAGCAAATGTCATTTTGCTCTCAAATGTATATTGCTCGGCGAGGCTTTGGGATAAAGCTAATTCAATTTAGGACAAAGATGAAGGAATGGGGTTGAGGAAAAACTAGGGATAGAGTTTGATGACGGTGTCCACGAGTCTGATTTATTAGTTTCTCAGGTGATTTGTTTGCAAAAATTAGGGGGGGTTATGTGCCGGGCACATCGTGAGCAGGAAAAGGAAAGCTTGCTAGTAAGCAGCTGACAAGTGCATTTGGTCTCCTTAATTAATATGCCTCGGACCATTCGAGTGGCCAACAATTTTAGGGTTTGCAATGATGTCTTAGGGTAGGGAGATTGTTGCCAGGTGATGGAGATAGAGCTTATTCGTCACTACTGGTGATGTTCATACTTGAATCAAATTTTGCGTAACACCGCTAACTGACTGTTGGTACATGAAACGAAATAGATACATCTGTCTGAAATTACTGTTTAGCCAACCGGAGGGCACTTCTAATCTTCTGATACCCGGTCATGCCTGTGGAGATGGTCAGCAACTTTGCTTTTGTAATTGAATCCTTTGATTCTTTTCTATAACTGGGTTGATATGAAATGAAGAGAGAAAACATATGTAAATCAATGTTACAAATCATTGTGTAACATCTTTTGGTGTCCAATTATGTCTAAAGCATAATCAAAGAATAATAAGTGATCACAACATTACTATTACATCTAAAGTAATCAAAACAAAAACCTAGCACCCACTAATCAGAGTTGATATTGTGCATCTAAATGTCACAGGTACACAATGGTACACAATTAGTGAAAACTTTGTCGGCCTTCGATGAGGATAATCTAATTCCCTGTTGTGGATTTGGGGATGGTAACTTCTTTTCGTCCTTGACAAAATCGAGAAACTTGGTTCAGTTTTTTTCGTTTGTATCGTAGTCAAGGAGAGTTAGATTGACTTGTAAAGATCGTCGTCTGTTATGCAGCCTCGACACACGATTAAGGTGTGTTTAGTTTGTTATGCAGCCTCGACGCACGATCAAGATGTGTTTAGTTTCTATCCGGACGGCAGATTTTGTCAAGGGTTTGAAGAAGTGTTGGGAAGATACAAGGAATTAGTTCCGCAGCTTAGAAGGTGCTCGCTTGAAAGTGGCCGTGTTAGCGAATATAAAGATCGTTTTAAAAAGGTGTAAATGAGAATTTTCGGTTAACAGAAACTGTCGTGCAAAAACACACACACACACACACAAAGTGATTTTCTTGGTCTTGTTTTCATGTTACAAAGCTAATAATCATTTATATTAGTTATTTTTTTCTTTCATGTGAGAGAAACACGTTGGTTTTTTTTTTCTTTCATGTGAAACGAATGATCGGCCGTAAAATTTCAAAAGATGTATTGTCCTTTAATGGCGAAAAAAACAAAAAAAAAAAAAAAAAATGGCATTCGAGCTGAATCAGGTGACGAGAAACACCGATAGTACTCCAAATAGCCTACTGAGCCCCAGGAGAAGAGAACTGTCGAATTATTTTCACAATTATTTTCATCGAATTACAGTGAATATCCACTGTCAATTGTCGTTCTTGAGGTCGGAGATGGTCCATGGGACATGTCATATGATGTAAGAATTTGATGACAATCTGCCTGCACGAGCGCTCTGACAGTTTCAGGTCCAGTATAAGTTCCACTCAAGAATGAAATAATAGTGTATTTTCTGAACAGAAAAAAGAACATAAGAAACTTGTCTCACGGCCTTATGAAATTCGCATATGTTGTGTTAGTTAGTAAACTTCACTGTTATCGTGTTGAAGAATGTCAAACGATCAAGAAAGGAGTCGGAATTTGCGCTCTCGGCCTTGATGGATATCCTTTCCCAATACCAAGCTACAATGGAGCTACGTTAGTAGGCATCGATTACTTCATGTTCGTCTTCACGAATTTGTCTGAGTGCACTTGAAATCACTCGTGTGTGTAGGAAACGTTCGACACGAGCAGAATAATGAGCTGATACATGATATATCTATTGTGTATACTTAAAATTTTACTTAAGCCTTCTTGTCTTTAGTTTTGGGCTGTGTCATGAGAGTGTCTGAATTTAGGTGAAGAGCCATATTTTCGACTTTCATAGTGAAATGTCTTACTTCTCAAAACAAATCAAAATAGTGTTTTTCTGTTTTTACTTCTCTTTGAAAAATAACAAATTTATAGTGTCTACTCAAGGTTAAGTCACCAGTTACTAATAAAAAAAAAAAAAAAACATTCACATCACGTGCACTTTATTAGTAGTTAAATATATGAGTGGATAAATAGTGAATTAAAATTGATGTAACGTGGGAGAAAGATAATTGATATAATTTAATTATTATTTAATTATATTATTCAGTGAAAGTGGGTAAAAGAAAATTGATGCAATCAAAACTGATTTTGAAACTTCTTACCAATCACCCTCTTGAAATACAGATAGAAACTCACGCCGAGTACATCATAAGCCATTCGAAAAATCCAACCGCGGTTTTCCCGCTCAATCTCTGACCCGAGTACTCCACCAACTTACTCCAAACCTCACCGACATTCCATTTTCGAGACTCGATCCACTGCACAACCATTTCAAACTTCTCCAACCGCTCCAAACCAAATGTATAGTACAACACGAAAGACCTCCCAGCTTGAGAAGCTGCCAGCCACTGGATCATGGCCTTAACTTGAGGATCTCCCCCGAAAGCCCCACAACCCCAGTTCCCAGTAGCTACACCAATCTCTTTACCTTCACCTTCACCTTCACCTTCCCCTTCCCCTTCCCCTTCCACTTCCCCTTCCCCTTCCCCTTCAAATGGATTGAAAAAGCCACAAAACGACTTATTAATTTCACGAAGGAGGCATTCTGGCGTGTACTGCACTTCTCCCGGGCGACGAAGGGCATCGATCGCGATTATCCGCGTTTTTCGCCTTCCCAATGTGTCGATACCCCTTTCATCCTCACGGTCGCCGGAAAAGCGGAAGGAATCTGAATAGCCGGTGTAGTTTGAGAATCTTTCTGAGCCGATGATCTCGATAGCCTCGTTATCCGCCATCATAGGCAGAAAAAGCACGCTCGTGATAAGTTCTGGATTTGTCACGAAACGGATTTCTTCTTGAACACAGCCACGTCTTAGGACACCGCCCCCTATGTATCTATTTGCAAAGTCCACTTCGAGAGCTTCGGTCGGCTGATCTTCGATTAAACCAGATATGTGAACCTATGATCAGATCATATATGAGCTATCCTCGAGTAAATGAGATAAATGTTTTCTTTTTTTACACAAATTTGACATTCAATAGGTGTTTCTTTTATGTGAAGGAAAAAGTAATGAAACTAGCATGATTAGATAAGAAAATCAAGTATAGATTGATAGTTCGTTCATCACCTCAAGCCTGCAGAGGGAAATGGTAGAGTTGATCCAGAAATCAACATCCGGGTAAACAATGTTAGATGGACAACTGTTCCTCAAGGGGAGAACTTTGCGCTCAAAGGAAACATTCCCTGCAGGCATATTCTGGCATACCCTCTCAAAATAGTGAACTATACACTTAATTTTATTTTCTTGATTTGCCCTGTTACGCTCGTACAGACATCTGCATAACGAAAAAAAGAGTTGCTTGCCTCAGAAAAATCATAAAGTGCACCAAAACCACATAGAGAGCAAATGACTCGCATCGTTTTAATTTCAAACAGCTAAGAGATCATCGATATACAAAAACCACATAGAGAGCAAATGTAACTTCTTTGTGATTACTAGAAAAATGAAATTGTCATAGGTGCATCAATGTCTTTTAACAACTATGCAAATTATAGTCATTTAAGTTGAAGACAACCAAAGTTCAAAGCCCAGAATTAGAAACATCAATAAGGGTATAAAACATACAAAAATAATTTATCGAAGTTGATAGATCGAAGATGTTTGTCGCCTCGGCCAGTGGTTGGAAACAAGCAGAAAAGAGCACAAGCCAGAAGAGCTGCAATCAATTCCTGCAATAAGCATAAAATCTCAGAATAAAATACTGTAGTAAAGTACACACGCGCTATTTCCAAAGTAAACCACAGTTCGTCACTCTTGAATCAGCTGCAAAGACCATGATAAGTTGCATCTTCTATTCAATACTGCGCTATTCCCAATAGCGACCATATCTTACAACGTGTACTGCTAATCCTTAATCAAGCCACAATATAGCATAAAAGTTTACTTATAAAATCAATTTCAGTATTTCAAAAGATAACTCAACGTCTCTTCTTAACTATCTCACCTGACTAAGAAACACAATGCCTGGCTGTTGCGCCTCCAATAATTTAAGACCAGTTTCCATTCCATTGATGATGGCCGCATTTCGATAGTGGGCTTCTAACAGTGCAGGCAACTTTAGAAGTAAATCTGCAAGCCTTGGAATAACGTCTCTAAACCAAGTCTCAGACTCATCCTTACTCATCAACTACAAGAACAAAAACCAAAAAACACTTAGAAGCAATTCTAGATATTTTTCTTCAGGGGTTCATGCACGAAGGCCGATACGTTTTGTATGCGAACAAGGCATGCCGTATAGCCCTCGGATTCTTTAGTACACACAGCGTTTAGCAAAATTGGTGTATCTCTTCGAATAATAAGCATTGTACATATACACCCAAATATGCAAATGTTTGATCACTTCTTGCTAAATTAAATTTGAACAATTACTATACTAAAGAATGAAAATGAACAACGCAAGCTAAAACCATTCACATATGCCCGCACAACACATCATCATTTCACTCATACGAACTGCATTCATCATAACCTAATTACAAGGCTCCCCATTAGGGCTGCAAACGAGCCGAACTGAGTCGAGCATTGACATTATCAGCAGGATTGAGTTTTTTTTATATGCTCGAGCTCGAGCTCAAGCTCGTTGAACTCGATTTTGAGGCTCGAGCTTGACTCGATAAAAAATACAATAGCTCGAGCTCGGCTCGAAATCAAAATGCTCGAGCTCGGCCTAAAAATTTTTAAGTGAAAAGGTAAAATTAACAATAAGCACATACTCTAATATATATAATAATGGGTATTTTAGTAATTTAACGTGTATCTCGAGTTGCTGGACAAGACAAAATATGGGATCGAGACTCGAGTTCGGTCAAACTCGAGCTCGACGAGTTTTGACTCGAGCGCCTCGATTCATTTGCAGCCCTACCGTCCCAATGAAATAACATTAGTTGGAAAATGAAAAGGGGAAAAAAGAACAAAATTGACATTTGGACTTTATTCAGTTCAAAAAGATTAAAGCCGGGCGTAATAAAGGATGAAGCTAAAACTTACAGTGTCGAAGAATAGAGATAAGCCAAGCGATGCAGAGGGATGGAGAGTGGAAACGCCGAGAGAATTTTGCAGGTCGGCGATGGCAAGGGCAAAGAGTTGACCGGAATTGACGTTGCTCTTACTCGGGCCTCTGGACAGGTACCTGAGAGCTTCCTCCACCGGCGGAGGCCAATGGGCGCCGTCGGACCGGATGATCACCGGCAAAAATGGCAGAATTGATCGGAAATCTTTCCGGCAATCCATGGAACGGTGGAACCAACGGTTGCTGAGTACTGTTTTATAGGCTTCAATTACAATAACTAGTATTCGAACTTGTGCATTTGCACAGATGTAAATAAAGTATTGTGAGTTATTTGTATGTATATAATGATTAATTATTTTTCTTTCACTTTTTTGCATGCCAAATTTACAAATACAGAAGTTGGAATATTTACTTTTTTTTATTAAATTACGTTTATCTGATTGGATGTAATGTATATTTTGGTACGTCTTTTTTTTGAATTATTTATCATTTATTTAGGAATTCAAATACGTTTTTAATTTTAAAAAAAATTATTTAAATATAACCACAATAATAACATCTAATCACATTGTACGATCAACACATTATATGGTCAATCAACACATTATATGGTCAGTTGTCACTAATAAAAAGCTTAAAATGAGTTTTGTAATTTTGAAGTGAGTAGTATTGATTATTTAATAATTAAATGAAAGATTAAATACATAAAAAAATAACGGTTTTTTGAGGGAAAAGTATTAAATTTGCCATATAGGTAAAATTAATTAGGTTTTATTAAATACTATTAGCTAGTAATTATATATATATATAGATTATTACACATTCGCTGCTTAGTTGCTTGGAAGTGGGGTTTTGAATAATATACTAGAGTATCTAATCTAATTCATTAACTAATTGTATTTTATTTTGTTGTATAACATTATAAAGAGAATGTTCTGATACCATTACGAAACTATTCCGTTAGAGTTTATATGAAATGTTATCCTGTTACGGAAACATTCTGTTAGAGCTTGTAATCGCTCAATCATCATGTATAGTCGATTTAATGTTTACAAACCCGATGGAATGGTTCCATAACGGGACCGTAGCATCTCCCCAGTATAAATCTTCAGCTATGTGTAGCCGCGTAGGCGTACGACTAGTTCTCCATTATTCTCTCATGGAAACTTCATTTCAATAATTGAGAGGCAAAATATTATTAGTGCTTTGGCTTAGGTGGATTGTTTTTTGTGAGCATATTTGAAATGGAATTTTAAATGATTATTTTTATTACTAGTTATATTTTTGTTGTATGATATCGTAATAAAATGAATAATATATTCTGCACTAAAAAGTTAGGGAGTCTTCTTTAAAAATTTCTACACCATAAATGAACTTCCAAGTCAGTCCCTCTATATAATTTTTTTCTATTTCACTACCTACCCCTTAATCAAGTTCCATTTAAATCCCTCCCATTAAAATAAATCACAAAGAAATTGAAATGTGAAATCATCCCACTATCTACTAATTTTGACACATTATTTTATTATTTTTGTTTATCTAAAAGTACTTCTTCCCCACTCTTCTTCCACACTCTCCTCTTCTCTTCTCCCGCGTTTTTCTTCTTCATCTCGACAGCAGCTTTTTTTTATTATTTTTTTTTCTCTTGCAGCTTCATCTCGCTGGAGAATAGAACCGAACCTTGGGGCTTCTTCAGGAGGGCAACAAATCCGGCGACATTTGGCTTTTTTCCGGCGAAAAAATTCTTTTTCTCTGTGCGAAAATTCTTCTTTTTCCGGCAAGATTGTGACTTTTTTCCGGCAAAAAATTGAAGTAGTAGGTAATGTATGTATTACATGAGAAGTTTGGTGTCCAAAAATCATCTTTAATTCATGTATTTTGTTTGATTTGTGAAGGATTGAATGTTAAATATTGTTGTTTATATTTACCCTAAAATAAATAAAGTGATCATAATCTTTTTTTTTTTGTTCATGTATACTAAATTTATGCTATTGTTAGGTTATGTTAGATGTTATTGACCATAAAACAAAAAAATAAGAAGGGAATAATGATAGTACCACGCTTCATGACCGTGTGTACCTCTATTTGGATATATAGTACCACTTTTCTCACTGTTGGTACCTTATTTGCTGGGAATTGTGAACTTTTTTTTTTTAATTCAATTATTGTTAGATACATGGAAGGGGCACAAAGCGATATATTAGGGAGTTGTACATACAAGGATGAAATGTATGTGTTCTCTATGAACCTTGAATCAACTCTTGATGAAGTGTACTCTCTCATTGGTAAGAGGTGGCCGATTGTTAGTTCGGAAACCGTCATGTTAAACTACATTGCACCAAAGGAAAAAAAAAGAATTATTTTGTCCGATGATGAGGATTTAAAAAACATGATTCAGTTACACGGTTGTTGGAAAGTAAATATTGTGGAGATAGTTGCCATTGAAAGAAATGAAAGCTCGGGCATTGGAAGAAATGAAAGAGCGGATGAAGGAGTTCAATCCATGCCGATGAGCATGAGAGGGTAGTGTTGCTTTCGTAATATTTATTAATTTCTTAACTAGTTCCGTTATTTATAAAATTTGTATTTTTTTATAATGATTGCAGGGAAATCTTACCGGAAGGAGAATCGGAGTTTGTAGTGCAAAATAGATCAATTGATTCTTGGAGATTTTCCATCAAAGGAGAGGGACAGATATTCGGTGGCGGCGCGGATGAATTTCGGAAGGTTGTTAAAAACTACGCCATTGCAAATAGGCGTTTGTTTAAGTACCGAAAAAATGATCAACAAAAGATCATTGTTTGTTGTACTGACGAGGGTTGTCAATGGAGAATCTATGCCTCAAAATTCAAAGGTGATCGTGTCTTTGCCATCCGGAAGAGCAATTTAGTCCATACTTGTGTAGTGTCCAATCTTCGGACAAGGGGGCATCCGAAAGCATACGCTCATTGGGTCTCAAATGCAATTAAGGAAAAATTGAGAGATGAACCGAGCTACAGGCCATGCACGATATTGAAAGATCTTCATAGGGATTATGGCTTGGAGTTGCCTTACAAAAAGGCATGGTCCGAGAAGGATATTGCCATGCAAGACATGGAGCAGACAAGGGCTCTTATGATAAATTGAGATGGTATTGTTCTGCGGTGCGTGAGACAAACCCGGGAAGCATTGCGGATTGTGAGCTTGACAATGTCCAAAATAAGTTCTGTCCATTGTTCGTTTGCTTTTGTGCTTGTGTTGTTGGTTTTATAACCGGTTGTCGACCGTTGATATTTTTGGATGGCACACACATAAAAAATAAATTCAAAGGCGTTTTGCTTAGTGTTGTGAGTAAGGACGCCAATGATGATTTGTTCACTTTAGCATTTGCTGTCGTTGATGCCGAGACCGATGAAAATTGGGAGTGGTTTTGCTTGAAGCTGAATAATACTCTTCTTACCTCCGGCTTCCCTGTTTCTAGAAGCTTCACGTTTTATACGGACCGACATAGCGGGCTTCTTAAAGCCATCCCTATTGTTTTTCATGGCAGCCATCATGCTTATTGTTTGAGACACTTAGTCGATAACTTTAAGACACAGGTAATTTTTCACTAATTAATGTTTGTGCAATTTGTTTGCATATTGTTTTAGTTTACATTCTGTTAGTGCAATTTGTGCAATTTTCTTTTTTTTTTTTTT